AAACATTTTTAGAACTTGTGACTCAGTCATTACATAGATATTGTTGCAAAAGGAAACATTGTATAATATTGTAAAGTTCTGATGACCTGTTAAGGAGATATTTAAAATACCATTTCGATGAACAATCTGAGCTATCCCTACATAGGCATTGCCATTGCCTGCCTGATACTTGCTTTGGATAATGGATTGTCACTTGTAATGGGTTATAACTATTTTCTTGAATTGATCAAGCTGAGATCATCAACCTGACTGTTTAAATTCAGTGTTTCTTAATGCACATGCAGGGTTGGCCCTTGGGGTGGGTGATATGTTCTCCTGCACAGAGTGCCCACCCCAAGGGGCATCAAAATTGACATTGCAATTAGCAGTTCTTGTCAGTTTTACAGGGTCACCAAATACAAAGTTCAAACAGGCCACAATTTGGCCTAGGATCAGCTCTGTGCATGGGTAATGTAGGTTTTACTTGGTGCAACTAGTGCTACCCATGTGACTGGTTAATCTCATTCAAACATAAGGGAGATATAACCTTGAGATACCACCGGACTTACCATTGAAGGACACTTGAGTTTACTTTATTGTACAGCATTAAAGTATTGTCTTTCCATAGGTAGAAAAGATGTAACCTAATAGAATGACAAGGAACAAAGGTAGCTAAAACAACTTCAACTTAATAACTTTTGTAACATGTCAACTTCACATTCCCAGAATCTCAAAATAGCTGATAAATTTAGAATAATACTATATTAATATAAAAATGTAGAAAATGCATGATATATTTATGTATCACACATATACTTACTTGTATATAAGAGTAAATATATGTATTCTAAACAATTTTTTGAAACATTCGGAAGGCATTAAAGAAAAGTACAAGAGAAATGTGCACCTCAATATTAACTTCTGATCAAAACTATTATAGTATATTGTTCATACTTATAATGATTAGAAGGCATTGTCTCATCAGTTGGGTATCCTTGCCATTAACAATATTTGTGGCCATATTCCCACTATAGAATAGATCCTTAGATAGCTAGAGTGAAAAGCCCTCCTGTTGGTGACTTATTGCTATTGAAGTTTTTATTAATTAATCTAAAATAGTACTATATTATCATAATTTGTAACTTAAGAACTTTTTTTAGTCGTTTAACATTTTTCCATCTAGAGTACATCTTCATTTCCTCTATCATTACAAACCTGTATTTATATATGTATCATGAAGATAATTTTTCTCTCCTTTAATAAAGTAACAAGTCAAGCATTTCATATGTTTATCTCTCATCAGTTTTATTATCACACAAGGTTCATGCAATTATTAATAACATTATGACGTTATTGAGAAAGGAAAACACTAAAGCTGAAGTTTATGCGCATGACTTGTCACTTCATCAGATTGGAAAAAAACTTGATATATATATAATTGTTTTAGGGAAAAAATGCATACTATTTGTCTTGTTTTAAAATAGTAAAGTGTAGTAACTTTTAACATTGTTCATTGTCGATCATATTTGCTATTGCTCTAGATCTTGCACTGAATTTGTTAATATCAAATAACTGAATATTTCATTTCTTAGATATAACTGGTAGGTATTTGTTGCTCAAAAAGTATTTGCATTGTGTATTCCATATATGAATGTATATTTCTATGAGTAATACAAAGAATATAGAGTTGATGTCACAGAAACTAAACCTTGGGCTTTGGATGTAACAAAATTTGTAAACAATTAAAACATTTTACTTTGAAAAGTAGTAGTATTTTACCATTTTCACATTCATATAGGGAAAAGGGAACAGTTTTATAATAAAGCTTTTGTAAATTTCCAAAACCTGCTTAGTGCACTACCTCGACTCATGTTGTTTTGGTATAAAGTAAGATAAAAGATGGATAAAAGAATACAAATTAATAAGAGGAATCTAACTTAGAAATCTTTGTAAGTTTACAATGGGAATTATTTTTGGGCTTATGGGTAATTGAAATGTATTTT